ATTTTTTACTTATTAAATGCATAATAAATAAAATATAAAAGGTTTGAATACTTAATTTTGATAAGCTTTTACTTTTTCTAATTTTAAATCTGAAATCATAAATGATTACCAAACATTGTAGGTTTCTTTTTTCAATAAATAATAATAATAACTAAGATAAGAAGCTTAATTTACTATGCTATTTTTTTGTTACAAACTTTGCATGATATAATTTGTAGTAACCTAATTAAGTCGAAATGGGTGGGTGTTATAGAAAATAGACCTATTGAAAAATGTTACTATACTAACAATTGTCAACCTTGCAAAACATATATTAAGAAATGTTAAGGGTTTGGAAATGATTTTAGGATCACTGATTTTAGCCAAAGAGATTTAATGATAATTGATTTTGTGAAAGTGATTTTTATATAATTAATTTAATTTGGTTACAGACATCTTAAGTGATTTTTATAAAATTAAAAATTATTTTGAGTGATAAACTATTTAAAGTTTAAAGAGAGAATTTGACAAAAATTTTTAGATGAAGAAAGATTAGAGAGAAACAAAAATCTTAGAGAACCCAGAGACAAAAATTTTAGACAGAAAAAATAAGATATGGGAACTAAAAACTTAGAGATTACAATAATTTTAGAGAAAAAAATTAGGAAGAATAAATAAAAGTAGAGATAAATAAAGTGAGAGCGTGACAAAAATTTTAAAAAAGAAAAATTTTTCTTAAATTTAAGGTGAAAATAAGGGGAATAGAAAGACAATTTTAAAAATTAAAACATTAACCATTTATATATATTATTAAATGTGTATCAATTTTTATCCTAAATTTTTAATATCATCAAATTGCACCGAGTTTGGACAAATATTGCAATCTTTAATTTAAACTTTAAAAAATATTACAATCTTTGAATAAGATAGAAATTTATACTTTTTGATAAATTTTTCATTTGAAGAATTAGAAAAAAAAAAAAAATCTGAGTGTCCAATGACTTATAAAACATGCATGGTACAAAATCGAGAGAATTTCAAAGAAAAACAGCATTAGAGATATTTTTTAGTTGAAATTTATGAGTTTTAGCCTAGTCAATTTTGTAGACCAAACTTAATTTCGTGCGAAACTTAATTTTCATTGAAATTAGGGAGTTTTTTTTTTAATATTTTGATATTGTTTTGGTTAAAATTAGTGAAAATTGAAAACAAATTGTAAAAATTGCAATATTTAGCTAGAGTAAAAATTGATGCAATAGATTGAAACATTTGTTGAGGTATAAATAGTTTAAAAATCAATATGCAATTTTCTTCAATAGAACTATTTTTTTTATTCTATTCCTAATTGTATCAATGATTATAAGTTACATATTTAATTTAAAGTGGCATGCCATCCTTTTCCCATTGGTGATAGAGGTAATGAAAATAAAATTATTAATTAAAAGTTTCCCCTAATTAATTATATGTTTATCATGGTGAAAAGTCATGTCTATGTGTAATAAAAAGTGACTTTAAGCAATAATTATTGAAAAGAAAAAAATAAGGGTAAAATAAGGGTTGTCTTATTCTTACAAGCAAAAGGGAAAAGGAGAAATCATCAAAAGCAAATCAGCCATCAAAGAAAAGAGAGTCACTTGCATTATTGGTTAAACATCCTCTCCCAAGGGAAAAAAAAATCTATAATTTCATTAAACTAATTTTTAATGATAATTTGGATGAAAAAAATAATTAAGTGGATACCATACCTATCCCCTCAAAGATGGATGGTTAGATCCCTTTTTCCGATAATAGTTAAATTAAAAAAAAACAATTTAAGACTCGTTTAATAACATTTCTATTTCTTATTTTGTGTTTCCTCTTTTTCAATAAATAAAAAGAGTTGTGTAGGGTAATTGTTTCTTGTTTATTCTTTTATTAAAACAATCGAAAACACGTTTGACATGGTTTCGATTTTTTAAAAATTTAAATTAAAAAGTACATTTTATATGAAAATTAATTTTTTTTATCAAATATTATGTTTTTTAATATTTATTATGTATTTTATACGTTAATAATGTAAAATAATGCTTTCAATAAAACTAGAAAAGGAAATTAGAAAAAAAACTTGATTTTATTGTTTACAAAGTTTAATTTCTTAAAAATGAAAAACAAGAAACAAAAACAATTACCAAATACTTATGTTTCGAAAAAACTAAAAACGATAAACAAGTAACAAGAAATAGTTACACTACCTAACGAGTTTTAATATCTTCCTATTCACCATGATTGATATTATATTAGGGCTATTAATGATTAAGAACCTCCAAAATGTTTTAGAACATAAATGATTTAATTATAAATTTATAATGATTTAGACAAACTTTTACAAAAAAACAAAAAAAAGAACTTTTACCCCCAATTTTTTCCCATAATTTTGGAATTTAGAAAATCTCCAAGAATCTACTTCCTGCTTTTGTAGTTTTCCTAAACACAAAAAATATAAACATGTTTATGAAAATAATAAAATGGAAAGAAATTATTTATGAAATAAGCCCTTGTATGTTTTTTAGTTTTGTATTTTGTGGAACAATTTTTTTTTTATTTTTCCCAAAAAAAAAAATTGTTATAAGAAAACATGTTAAAAAAGTCATGGTCAAGTGGTTTTGTAATTTTTAAGTAGAGTTGAAATTTTCAAGTTAAAATACTAATCTAACAACAACCCAATTAAAAAAAAAATCTAGAAAATTTATAATCCAAGTACATTTTTATATTAAATAATATACCTTTTTTTTTTGGTTATAAAATCTATATACAACAAATTCCTGACATCATTCCAAGTTAAGCTCAGATTTTATAATTCAAATTGTCAAATAATGTATTTAATATTTTACCTCATTTATTCAAATGTTGACAATTTTTATTTAAACTTTCTTACAAAATATTTTATTTTAGAATTCAAAATAAGTAAAACTAAAGGAAGGATAAAATCAAACAATCTTCAACAAGATATTCAAATTCAAGACTTAAAAAAAAAATCCAAAATTTCTAAGTTTGGCTTTTGGGGAAGGAAATCCGAATTATTAGAAGAGAAGTGTGTAAGTTTTTTTTTTTTTTTTGGGAAATATCAGATTTTAATTTCTTTTAACCTTTGCAAAAMTAAAAAATAAAAATAAAAATCTGATATCAAGATTCCAAGGCAGAAAATTCAATAGGATTGGGCAACCAAGACCAAAAATCTGACTTTTGCAAACCCTCCCTCAGAATTGCTTTTACTCTGCTTCCAAAGCACTCTTTTTTAGAGGTCATATAATTCATTATTTTATTTATTAATTTGTTAAAATTTAATTTTAGTTCATAAAATTTTCATCTCAATTATGATAGAGTTACAAATTAAATTTTATTATTTTACTCCTTCAAGTATTATTGATATCATTGCCACCACAAAAAAAATAACATCAACAAATATCGGAGGAGATCGAACCTTGCATCTTGAATAAGAAGATAGTACTTTGTCAATTGAACTATGTTCGAATTGACTATGATCCTACYATTTATGTGTCATTATATCTACAATTTTTAATACTAAAACTTTTTTTAACGAATTTTWTTTTGGAAAATAATTTCCTCCGAACTAGTCAGCAACAATTTTCTATTAACCCATTTTTTGACAAGTAAGAAAGAAGAATAAAAAAAGAGAGATTTTTTTTTCAAGAAAAAAATCCTCAATCTTTTAACTGTGGTAAGGAAGAATTTGAAGAAGTATTTTCCTTTTTCTTTTCTATCTTCTAAATTTGTCCATCTTATTTATTCGAGTATTCTCTCAATTTCTAAAGAAGTTATAACTAAAAAATTTTATCTCACACACACATATAACATAATATATATATATATAAGTATATATATATATATATATATATATATTTTAAAGTAGAAAAAGTGGGTTAGAGTTATCTCATATATTCTTAATTATCTAATTGTTTTTTTTTCTCCAACCGTTTTATTAATTTATTTTTATTATAAGAACAAATACTATAAAAAAGTGTTGGATAAACAGTAGCTATTTTAGCCCATAGTATATAGAAATATAATAGAAGTACCCAACAAAATGAATGTAGACTTGTTTAATTTTTCATTTTTTTTGCKTAGAAAAAGTACTTTTCTTGATTTAAATCTTATTTTGATCTCTGAATGTATTTATTCGTCTTTTATTTTATAAACTTTCACACACATATATATTTTTTGAGACATTCATATATTTTATTTTAGTTGTGAAACTATTCGTTTTTCTTTCAAAATWYAATACAAATGCGGAATTTTTATTTTATTTTTACAACTATATTAAAAAATACATATATATTTAAGCTATAGATAAATATCAACAAAACCTAATATATACATGTCTTTTATCAATATTCCCACAAATTAATTTATATGCATATAAATACTCAAACTTAGTTTAAATATTAAATCTACCTACCTGAGTATAATTCAACTATTACAAAAAGTAACGAGTTCGAATTCTCACCTAATATTTTATCTTAAAAAAATCCGAAAACAAATTTCGATAAAAGTAAAACAAAATTTAATTTCTTAGGTTGTTTTAAATATTACATTATGTAATAATGAGCTAATCAATCAGATAGAGAGAGAGAGATTTATTTATTTATTTATTTATAAATAAAAAACACACATTTATTTATTTCCTCGAGCGAGAAAAGTGAAAGAGAGGCGACCGACAAAAAGAAAATAAACAAAAAAGAAAAGAAAAGAAAAGAAAAGAAGGGCATTTCGGTAAAATCATGGAAAGTGGCAAAGAGTGGGGTCACAGAGCCAGCCAGTAGTACGTGTTGATTCTTGAAAATCTCGCGAGATTTCGCACGACCGTCGGCAGACTCGCCACTCCACCGCACGTGCTCCACGTGACACCTGCCCTACTCTTTCTCTCTCTTCTCTCTCTCTACAAATTTTTTCATCGCTCTCTTTTTTCCCTTTTAACCCATTTTCCGTACCTGTCCTCTGTCTCTGCCCACTGGATTGGAAGTAAAAATCTGGGCACTGTTTGGCTCCGCCGGAACAGAATAAAACCCAAACCCACTACGGCGGCGCCGCCGCGGCTGCTGCTCCGGCGAGGGGGACGGGATTTCTCCGGGACCCACCAAAAACCCCCAACTAATACGAGCGATTACTGATTAATTAGGATTGAATAGGATGGATCGAGAATTATGTGTTTTGTCTGTGTCCCAATTTCGTCTCTTGTGTTTTACGCGTTGAAAATTTTCCCTTTAAGAAACCCACTTAGATTCTCTCTGTAACTCTCTTTTTTTCTCTCTGTAAATTTGTTTCTTTTTTTCTCTGTTTTTAAATTTGTTGGTCACAGATCGAGAATCCACCATGTAATGCACAGAGTCCAGCTGGGAGGAAACTGGGTCTCACAAGAAAAGAATCATTCATTGCACACACACATACAATTTTCTTTACTCTTTTTTAATTTAATTTTCCCTCTTTTTCTTTTGGGGGATTTTTCTATTTTTCTTGAATTGAAACATTTTCTTATTCCCCCTGATTTCTTTTATATCTAAACCCACCTCTGTGTCTCTCTCTCCGTCTCTCATAAAGAGCTGGCTGTGTTTTTTTATTCGTTGAAGGAGTGTAGGTGTAGTGTTTGATGAAATGGGTGTTTGAGAAAGTGGGCTGAGAAACCACGCACGTAGAAGAAGGGGGACTTAGAGAGAGAGAGAGAAGAGGAGAGAAGAGGAGAGAAGAGGAAGGAAGTTGAGTGAGATGAGAGAAGTTGAAGGGCTGCTTCTCTGAGCCTTGGTTTCCTTTGGATTCTGAGTTCTTTGATTTTTAGTGGCTTTTCTTAGTCTAATGGACACCAAAGGCCGACTCATTGCGGGTTCTCACAACAGAAATGAGTTTGTTCTCATCAATGCCGATGAGGTTGCAAGAGTAAGTGTCATGATTTCAGTTTTTTCCTTCTTTTGCTCCAAAATGGCACTGTTTTTGTCTTTGAAAATCCTATTTTCCACCCCAATTTTAGCTTCTGCCTCATACCCATTTCTTCTAATTTCACTCCCTTTTGCTTGGTTACACCCCTAACCGGATCCCAGCCTGATTTTTCTTCCCATAGCTGCAATTTGTTACCCCCCATCTTCTTCCTAAACCCAGTTTGGATCTTGGTGATGAACACTTTTTCTCTCTTTGTTACCTTTATCATCTAAAGTTTCAGTTTTTGGTTGGGATTTTTCTGTTTATTTGGTTCCTAGTTTCTAGGGAAATCCATCTTCTTAAACCAGATCTTGCCATTACTTACCCCCCCTACTTTCTAGATTTCAGGGCTAGTTAGTCAATGTATCCGATTCATTAAGTGTTTTTCTCTATTGATTCTGAATTTGTGCTAACAGTTGATGAGTAACCAACCTAGTGGGAAGCAAGAAAGAAATAAAGAAACAAAGCTTTTACTTTTTTTCTCTGACATTCTTTTTCTAAAATCCTTTTGTTATTTTTGAGTTGCAGGTGACATCTGTGAAAGAGTTGAGTGGGCAAATATGCCAGATCTGTGGGGATGAGCTTGAAATCACTGTAGATGGAGAGCCATTTGTTGCGTGTAACGAATGTGCCTTTCCAGTTTGCAGACCTTGCTATGAGTATGAAAGAAGAGAGGGCAATCAGGCTTGCCCTCAGTGCAAAACCAGATACAAACGTCTCAAAGGTATAATGAAACAATGAATCAATAAATATTCTTAGCGTGTTAAGGTCCATTGATAATTCTTTTGGCTAACTAAGAATGTGTTGATCAATTTCAGGTAGTCCTCGGGTCGAAGGCGATGAAGAGGAAGATGATACTGACGATCTGGAGAATGAGTTTGACATTGCAAACAAGGATCCCAACAGTGTATCTGAGGCAATGCTCTATCCCCACCTCGCCGTAGGGCGTGGTTCTCATGCTAATGGCTCTGGAAATATGGCTTCCGACCTCGATTCATCATCGGTCCCGACCGATATCCCTCTCCTTACCTATGGCCAAGAGGTGAAGAATGAATGAATCTTCTTCTCAATGTTTGCTTTTACCATTTTGGTTTGACTCTCAAAAGTTGCTTAATCTTTGATTGTGCTGTTTGATCTGAAGGATGCTGGAATTTCCTCTGATAAGCATGCTCTAATCATTCCTCCTTTTATTAGCCGTGGCAAAAAGGTCCACCCAGTGCCGTTCTCTGATTCTCCCATGTCGGGTAAGGTCCCCGAATTCCTGTGCATTTTGTGTTTTTTAATCCTCTTCTGGGATGTATCAGTGTTCCATCTAGATGATCAATGATGTTTATGTTTTTTCTGMCGTAGTAACTAACATTTTGAAGTGTTGTTGTTGCAGCTAATCCAAGGCCAATGGATCCAAAAAAGGACTTAGCCGTGTATGGATATGGAACTGTTGCGTGGAAGGAAAGAATGGAGGAGTGGCGGAAGAAACAAAATGAAAGACTTCAAGTAATTAAGCATGAGGGTGGAGGCGGAAAAGGAGAAGACGAGCTTGATGATACAGATTTGCCTATGTATGTTCCTTCTTTGTATACTCTTYTATTTTAAGATGCTTATATGTGCTGTGTATAAGTTGGTACTTCTAGTGGTATGTGTTGATTATTCTTGATGATCCTTCCATTCTACTCTCATTAGTATTAGAGTTTTTTTCTTTATCTTTTGATATGGATTATAAATTTATTGGTGTACTTTTGCATATCTTTAATAGATGATTGGGTTTGCTAAGGTGTTAGAATTAGGATCTATAGCTACTACTTAAAGGCTCAGTGTCATATATACATATATTTTGGTTCGGAGATTTCGAAATTCTTCTTTAGCTTATGTCAGTTGTTTATTATTGTTTTCGTAGGATGGATGAAGGGAGGCAACCACTGTCGAGAAAGCTGCCGATCTCCTCAAGCAAGATAAATCCATACAGAATGATAATTGTACTTCGAATTGTCATTCTTTGCCTCTTTTTTCACTATCGTATCCTTCATCCTGTCCATGAGGCATATGGATTGTGGTTAACATCAGTCATCTGTGAGATATGGTTTGCTGCATCATGGATATTGGATCAGTTCCCGAAATGGTGCCCAATTGTTCGAGAAACTTACCTTGACCGGTTATCATTACGGTACTTCTGATGTCTCCTTTCACTCCATCCTCCATCTCCCTTCCCCTTTTTCTTCCATATCTCAGTTTCATTTTGTTAACGTTTGCAGATATGAAAAAGATGGCAAGCCATCTGAGTTGGCTTCCATTGACATTTACGTCAGTACAGTGGATCCAATGAAGGAGCCTCCTCTCATCACAGCAAACACCGTCCTGTCTATACTTGCTGTTGATTATCCGGTAGATAAGGTTTCATGCTATGTTTCTGATGACGGTGCTGCCATGCTTACTTTTGAAGCCCTTTCGGAAACTTCTGAGTTTGCAAGAAAGTGGGTTCCTTTCTGCAAGAAATTCAATATCGAACCCCGGGCCCCAGAGTGGTATTTTGCCCAGAAGGTTGACTATTTGAAAGACAAAGTTGATCCGGCCTTCATCAGGGAACGTCGTGCAATAAAGGTTTGAAGATTGTACCTGTTTTGCTTTTCAGAAAAGTAGTGTGTTATATAATTGTACAAATGAGTGCATGATGAACTATTATTGTATTGAAATAATTTCTGGACCTGAAAGTTTGGCATGGCTTTATGCAGAGGGACTATGAAGAATTTAAAGTTCGAATCAATGGGCTCGTTGCCATGGCTCAAAAAGTTCCTGAAGATGGGTGGACAATGCAGGATGGAACTCCGTGGCCCGGGAACAACGTCAGGGATCATCCTGGAATGATTCAGGTGAGGGGATGTTTTCTTGATGCAGTCAGTCGTATCATAAATCCATGCCTTTATATGTTATCAACCCGTTTCTTTTAACTGTCTTCTGCAGGTATTCCTTGGTCAAAATGGGGTTCGTGACTTGGAAGGAAATGAATTACCTCGTCTTGTGTATGTATCTCGTGAGAAGAGGCCGGGATTTGATCACCACAAGAAAGCCGGAGCCATGAATGCTCTGGTACATCTCGTCCTCCCTCTTCCCTTCTAACATATACATTCAATTCAATTCACCATGACTAATATACATGCTATTTGATTCTTCAAGGTGCGTGTCTCGGCAATCATCTCAAATGCTCCTTACATTTTGAACGTGGATTGTGATCACTACATCAACAACAGCAAGGCACTTCGAGAAGCAATGTGCTTCATGATGGACCCGATTTCTGGAAAAAGAATATGCTACGTGCAGTTTCCACAAAGATTTGATGGGATTGATAGGCATGATCGATACTCGAATCGCAATGTCGTATTCTTCGATGTAAGTAAATAATATCTATATCCTCAGACTCAAATGTTCATGAGACAATTCTTTATCCCCCATCACAGCAATGGGCCAAGGAAATGCTAAGTTCTCTTACCTTATGAACAACCATTTCAGATCAACATGAAGGGATTAGATGGTATTCAAGGGCCGATTTACGTCGGAACTGGGTGCGTGTTCAGGAGGCAGGCCCTTTATGGGTATGATGCCCCTGCCAAGAAGAAAACACCAAGAAGGACTTGCAATTGTTTGCCAAAATGGTGCTGCTGTTGCTGCGGAACTCGAAAGAAGACTAAAACAAAGAAGACCAGTGACAAAAAGAAGTTAAAGACCAAAGATACGTCGAAGCAGATTCACGCCCTCGAAAACATTGAGGAAGGAATCGAAGGTATGGAACGGACATGGTCTGAAAATACCAATGGACCAAATTTGCATACTTTTAAATTTCAGAATTTTTGGTTTAATGAGGTGAAAATCTTTGTGATCCAATGCAGGAATAGATAATGAAAAATCATCTCTGATGCCCCAAGTTAAGTTTGAGAAGAAGTTTGGGCAATCTCCATCATTCATTGCTTCCACACTTATGGAAGATGGCGGTGTGCCCGGAGGAGGGACTTCTGCTTCGCTATTGAAAGAAGCCATCCATGTAATCAGTTGCGGTTACGAAGATAAATCCGAGTGGGGTAAAGAGGTATGAAGGAAGCTCTCCCGAAGTTCAGAAATGTCGATTTGTGTGCACTCCTTTAATATTTTTATTTCCTGTACTATTTGCAGGTAGGGTGGATATATGGGTCTGTTACAGAGGATATTTTAACAGGTTTCAAGATGCATTGCCACGGCTGGAGATCAGTTTATTGCATTCCTAAAAGGCCAGCATTCAAGGGTTCCGCTCCTATTAACTTGTCCGATCGTCTACACCAAGTTCTTCGGTGGGCTCTTGGATCTGTTGAAATTCTGTTGAGCAGGCACTGTCCGATATGGTACGGATACGGATGTGGTCTGAAGTGGCTCGAGCGTTTCTCGTACATAAACTCCGTTGTTTATCCATTGACGTCGATTCCATTGATCGCTTATTGTACCCTTCCGGCTGTCTGCCTGCTCACAGGGCAGTTTATCGTCCCTGAGGTAACTACAATACCGACTTCTGAATGCATTCGCATTTTTTCCATTTGTCAGGTTTGTTCAGCTGAGTGAGACATGTTCTTTGTTTGATGTGCAGCTAAGCAACTATGCCAGTATAATTTTCATGGCCCTTTTCATCTCTATAGCAGCGACCGGTATCCTCGAAATGCAGTGGGGAGGAGTCGGGATCCACGATTGGTGGAGAAACGAACAGTTCTGGGTTATTGGGGGTGCCTCGTCCCACCTTTTTGCACTTTTCCAGGGTCTGCTAAAGGTTTTGGCTGGTGTTAACACAAACTTCACTGTCACGTCCAAAGGAGGAGACGAAGGAGATTTCGCTGAGCTTTACCTCTTCAAGTGGACGTCGTTGTTGGTCCCTCCATTGACCTTATTGATCATAAACATCATCGGAGTAGTCGTCGGGATTTCAGATGCCATCAACAACGGTTACGACTCATGGGGCCCGCTCATCGGTAAGCTATTCTTTGCATTCTGGGTGATTGTCCATCTGTACCCATTCCTCAAGGGTTTGATGGGGAAGCAAGACAAGGTACCAACCATTATCATTGTGTGGTCCATTCTTCTATCATCCATCCTATCGCTTCTATGGGTCCGAATCAACCCGTTCCTCGACAAGGGTGGCATTGTATTGGAAGTTTGCGGGTTAAACTGTGACGACTAAGATGCAGAAATATACACGGCACGAAGTGTTACGGGTAGGAGGAGTTTGTTTTCTGGGTTGAGCGTCATGGGGACTACTAACTGGTCTCGAACATGCATCTGAATAGAACACGGTAACGCTACTCCGCCCGAGATTGTGAAAGATGAGTTGCTGCAAAAGGCTACTTGTCCTGGATTTGTAGATATGGAGGAATTTGCATATCACACATCATCAAATATTTGTTCTCTCTGCAAACTTTGTCATTGATTCTTTCTTCTTCTTCTTCTTCTTCTTCTATACATGGTTTTTTTTTCTTCTTTCTTCTTTCTTTTGATTTTGTGGAAGGGACTGTAATTTATATCATGTGTCTGTGAAAATCCAAGAAGAGCACATAAAAATGGAGGGAGGTGGGTTTTAGTTTGATTCATCATAAATTTATCCCTTCTCAAAAGGGATTTCCCAATTCCCATTCCCTTAGGTGGTTTTGTCTGTTGTATCCCTTTGTTGTTTGTAAATCTCTTCTTCACTCAATCAGCCCTCAGTTTTTATTATTTATGGTTGGTTTCTTTCTATATTAAAACTCTCCAATTCTGCCTTGTTGTAATCACAATAATTATAGTTTTGTCATCTTAATGCAATAATCATGGACTTCCCTCATTACATTCTTCACTTTTTCTTATTTTCTTATTGATTACATTTATTTTCAGTTTAATTTACGGATTTTGAAGTGAGTTTATTTATTTATTTGATTGGTCCTTGTGAATTTCTTGSGTAGATATGAATTTATTTGATTCAAAGGAAAGAACTACGCGACTGGTTAGTCTTTGAATACGAGATATCCATCCAAGTCATTATAGATGCATTTGCCCAATTGTCGCTTCTAAAGAGTTCCATGTTAAAAAAAAAAAAAATACAAATCTCGTTTCACAAAGATACTTGGTTTCAGTTTTTCTTGATTCATCAAAACATTTTATTTTTAGATTTAGGGGCACTTGCAAATATGACAAAAAATTTTTAGTAAAATAAGCAAAATAGTAACCACCCTTTAATGATATATTACCTGACCACTGATATATGTCTCTGATATACYACTAATATAATAATGATATATAATTGATTTACTTCTGGTATAACTATGATATCTACCCRACTTCTAAYATGTCTTACCACCGATATACGTATGATAACTATTGATTTACCACGCTGATATAATACATATATATGTGATATATATTTGATATATCTCTAATTTACCATTGATATACAAATGATATACTACTGATATAATTATGGTATCTACTGATATAACTTCTTATATGATTATATGATTTACCACTAATATAATACTGATATATACTTAATATGCTTCTAATTTACCATTTATRTACCTATGATATAACCATTTTATCTACTAATATAACTATGATATATGTGTGTTCATATCATACTATTATATCCAATATTTTTTAAGATGAAAACAATGGTGCAAGATTTTTTATTTTTTAYTTTTGAAATATAAAGCTATTATATAAAGGTTTATGTGGACCATGCACATCCAAAAAGACAAGTTAAAATTTTGATATACTATATAAATTTAAACCGTTGATATCCCTTATATTTAGTATCTAATTAATATTAATATTGAATAAATAGTAGTGATATAGTAATCAACATTATTGATAATATTAGTATATTAATCGACAAATTGAAATGATAAGCTATAATTTAAACAGTTGATATACCACTAAAAATTAAAAATTTGATATATCTTATATTTAGTATATCAGTTGCAAATATATTTAGTATATCATAAATTAGAAGTACATCAGATATATATATTATATGTATAATACGTACATTTGATGTATATAAGCGGTATATCTGATAATGTATATCATGATACATCWATATTAGGGGTACATCGAATGTATATCGGAAGTATATCAGAGTTACATCAGATGTATATTAGATATAGATTTGATATATATCATATACAAATTTACATCAGATGTATATCAGATATAGATTTGATGTAAGATATACATAAKATGTTATCAGATATAAATTGGATGTATATCAGATATARATATTACATTGAATGTATATCAGATATAGATATACATCATACATATATCAGATATCATAAGGGTAAAATTGGAATAATAAAAATTCCGAAAATAAAAATTCAAATATTTTGCTATATTTGAAAATTTGAAAAACTGGTGACATTTTTTGAAATACATAAAATATTTTTGCTACCCACTACAATTACCCTTAGATTTATTACATTAGTGAACAAATTCGATATTTTTTTGAGCCTACTTGAGTCCAAAACTATTAGGATCCCTTGGTGATTCTAACCAAGGTTAGTATAATTCTCGYASAGTTAGGCCTCCTAACCAAGGTTAGTATAATTCTCCTGCAGCTTATTTGGGCTTGAAGCACTTCTATATGAAGTCCACTCTTTTACTATTAAAGAAGGATTGTTTTTTATTTTTGAATTTGAAGTCAACTTTCAATTTTGTCTATGTATATTTGTTTTACATATTTAATGAATAAGGTGTATTTGTTATATTTGAATATGTGTTCTGAATATATTAAGACTAAGTTTGTGTTGACTTTTGGCTTTTGAAGTGAAGTATTTGGTATCAATTGAAAAATAGCCAAAACATCTCGACACTGTTAAACTTAATTATATATTTATCTCTAATGCTCCGGTATATTTTTTTCAATCTAATCCGTATTGTTTAAGAGTTTCAATTTTTTGTTGAGTACAACATGTAGGGATGGGAGTTCGAACTCACAACCTCTTGATTAGAGATAGGTGCCTAAACAGTTAAGCTAAGCTCATGTTCACTTGAAAGTTTCGATCTGTTCTTATATTTTAAAACTTATCGAGTATACTCGTTTTCATTACTAAATGATATAATTGAAAGCTTATATGACATAATACTTAGTGAATTGATAAAAATTTAGGGGAGAAATATTGGGTGACCTAAAAAAAGAAAAATCTAAATTTATGCTAACTCCTTGGAAATTTAGAGGAAAAATTAGAAACTTTATCTAAGTGACCTAATTCTCTACATTTTTGCCAACTCAGTAAATATCCTGTCATATAAGTCTATCATCCAATTTAAGTATTTTCTAGGGAGGGTTTTTTAACAAATATTAAAATATAATTAATTGAAATGAAATATTTTACTAAAATATATATTTAGTGTTGAGATATAATGGAGCCAAAACAATATTAAAATATGGATAGTTTGTTGGGCCATGAAACACCAAGCCCGAACTTAATTGTGTTTTCCTYTCCCTAAGTTTACCACCATTATATTTGGGGCAACCAGATGAATAGCTAAATTAAATAGTTTGATTTGAAAAATGGCCAAAATAACCAGATATCATAAAAATAGCTAAAGAACAATTAGAGCTTGTATGTAGACAAATTTACCCTCCCCATCAAAATAGGTAAATTTATCCTACCATTTCCCCTATAAATTGGTGACGAAACTACCCTTCAATAAATCTGTAGTGCACCTAAATTGTAGGAAAGAAGATAGTGAATGGAAATTATAGAGTTCAAAAATTTTAAATTACATATAGATTTCAAAATTTCCAAATTTGTAAGATAAATCTGTTGAGTATTTTGAAATAAAAAAAAAGATTTAATCAAACTATAAAATAGACTAAAAAAAACGTAAAATCAAATTAGAAAAGTGGAAAACTAAAGATCAAAGCTGTAAAGTACTGTAAATTATAGATGAAGTAGTTGAAGATTAATATCATATTAGGATCCATTATGGAAGGGAAGGTAACTCAAATGRCTCCTTCCCACTTTTGCCCTTTAACTCCTTCTTCCCACACTTGCCGTAACTCTTCCTTCCTAAAATCAAATAAAATTGGATTCAATCAAGTCTCAAGCCCCTCATGCCTTGTGCGCCTCAAGCTTTCGGCGTCCCTCTTCGGCGTACACAATCTTTGGCATCCCTCTTCCCACTCTTGCTTATCCAACAAGGATATTCATCGATCGATTTTGAATGTTGTTTAAATAAATGAGGTTTAAATAATTGACCGTTTGTTAGCAACCTCCAATATTCAAGGGATTTTGTTGGACACAACTTGTTTTTAGGACACCTTGTAGATATGGTCAATTGGGGATATTATATTGAAAATATAGTTTAGATTAAATAATAAATAATAAAAATATTGTTAAAATTAGATTGCCAGGTAGTTTAGTTTGCACAAAAAAAAAAAAAAATTTTCAATCTTAAATTTCAAATTTCAATAAATTTAAACACAKACCTCAATTCTGATGTTTCAATAAATATCATTARTACCTGGAACTTGTCAATTCCGATGTTTTTTAGYTCAATCTAACCATTTTATTGTTAAATATTTAAAATTTATTGTAAAAAAATCAAGAACATCCAATTAGATTCCCATATAACTAATTGATACTTATGTGGTACTAATTGATACTCATAAGGAACTAATTAATTTTAACAATATTAGGAATACGCATTCTTATTTGTTGGTTCTACCGGACAAATTTTTTTTGGGGCTTGATTCAATGGTTGAATCTTGTGGAGTTTTCTTTTTTTGTTAATAATCTAATTTTCTAAGAACTGGGTTTGCTGCAATAGGAAGATTTTTCGAGTAATGTTTCAGTAACTCGATGACTAATTCTCATATAKCAAGAATTAAAATGCAGCTTCTTAGAATGTAATAATCGTGGCATATTAGTCATGTATGTTGATGGACAAGGATAACCCAGTCAAAATGGTCATCTACTCTATAGAATCCTATATCTACCCCGTTGTATTGAYGTCTCTTGCTTATTTTGTGAGATAACCTCTAGTAGCCATATATTTACACATCGATCGTCTCTCTCCTTAGTTAAATATTAATATATGTTTCCTTGATTGCTAATATGCATTTTTGATTTTGTTGGTTTTGGTTACCTTTTTGTCATATTTTATGCATTGATCTTTGTTCCGATTTAGTGATAAAGAAAGATTATGTGATGCAAAATATGACTATTTTCTGCAGATASTTTTCAATCTTTTTTTGGCGTCTAAACTTTCACTACCCCGTAGATGATGTTATATACGGGGTCAGTATCTACAACTATGCCGTAGTCGCTGCACCTGACATCCGCCAACAGGGATATGGCCCACGCCACGTCCCTATCTACTAACAGCCTCATAATTATCGACTTGCTAGTACCATTTCGGAAAAGTGAAAGACGTGTAATTTTTTTTCCTTCTAGAAAATGAAGATCTCTAGAGATACATTCACAGAGTTGTTGTAGGGTGAAATCGAATGGAATTGAAACGTGCCCGGTAATGAATCCTTGATAATTGTTGTGCTCCTCCCAACTAAAATCGTGGCTAACAATGATCGCATAATGTTCCCGYGTTGATTGATTTAATTCTCGAGAAAATGTAAAAATAAAATGGGTGGGGATTAATGATACGTTGTGTAAGAATATTAAAGAAACACTGTATTTAAGGTTGCTGATTACAGTGGAATGTTCAAACCAATTAGTTAGATTTTTTTAAAAAAATTAAACACATTTAAAACTTGTTTGAATCATATATGTAGATTTGGTGGTTTAAATTTTGTGGAAAGATTTTAGGAATTATATAGATTTTGTAGTT